GTCCTTGGAACCTAGATCTCTCCAGAACTTCTTTCTATTACTTTGGATGTTTGACTACGTTTAACCAGTTGTACAGGTTCCATAGAGATGGCCTTTTTCTTTTATTTATCTGTGGTCATAGATACTGCACAATTTACAGTGCACATTACTTTGAATCTGATTTGGGGACAAACGTATATCCTTCGGAGCATGAGGTGGGGAATGTGCTGCAGTGCCACTCCAGTAGAGTACCCTTGCTATACGTTCAAGAAACTGTTGGCAAAAGTGAAATTGTTTTGTAACAAACCACTAAATCAGATCTTTATAATAAGCATGAAATTGGTTTGTCTGCAAAGCGTCTGTGTGGGACTATTGAACTGAAACACTTTATTATATAAACAATTATAAGTTGAAGCGGCTCTGGCCATTGCTCCAAAAGGACAGTTTAGTAAGGTGGGATAAATTGTACTAAGCTTTTATTCAACTTACCACTTTTGTAATACATTTTGTTAATCTGATTTAGCAAGGTTCCTTGGTCAGGAACGCCATGCCAGCTGAAGTGGTGACTGTAATGTGCTGGTTTCATTTTAATGAAAGGTTGCACATGCCCAATGAGGCCAGGAAAGGGATTTTGTATATTTTGCGATGGAAACGGCAGGTGGGATCCCACATGTGGCACCTAAATATCAGGTGAGTGTTCCCGATAGGCTTTATCCTGTTAAACTGGTGTAGGATGAGTTATGTGTCCTCCGTTTCCAAAAGCCTTTTAATGGGCCGGACAGACACGGTTCACACTTCTGCATTATTGGGGAAATTTATGGTTTTCTTCCGTTCTCCCACCTTTACAAGTGAAGAATTTTACTGATTTTGGATGTGGCTGTGTCAGTATTCAGCGCCAAAATCCATTTTGTGGCAGATACTGTGAAATTTCTTTTAGGTTAGTGTTGGTCTGCCCCACTCCCTCCAGAAAAATTCCCATTCCACCCTCCAATGGAGTTCAAAACCGGTCCCATCTTGATCCTTGGGGAGGGGAGGGGGATGATTTTAAGATTGCAAACCTACCTAATGAACTAGGCTATGGTTTTGCATCAAGTCTAATATAACAATAGGAACACGAACAACTGTTTATTTTTTGGTGTCTTGTATTTTGCACATTATGCATATAGCGTGCACTTTTTTTTTTTTCTTTACAATCTTCCTTAAAATATCTTGCCTGAAACCTCTGAAATTGAGATATTGGAATCAACTTTTTTTTCATTGAAACGCTATCTTGTCAGGCTTTGATTTTGCTTGACACAGCCAATGTCATGCATTGCGCTGGTCAGGTGGTACTGGCTACCTAAAGACTTAGTCAACGACGCAGCTAGCATTGTGTTTGAAATAAAGAGAACAGCATTAATTTACATTAGATTACCATACAAGTGCTATATTAATATGATTCTGACATGTTCCTTTTGGTTGTTTTTTCTGTCCCAGTCCCGTGATTAATACTGAAATCGACTCCCATTACGTGGGATTCTGGAAATATTGTTAGCCTCTACTTTTGAACCCTGTTTACAGGGCTAGACATAAGGATTTAGGAGGGCACAGCCGCTTTGGCCTTGGCTATTCATATTTTTTCTAGGGCACAAGGCCATTAAGCCTGGGCACAAGGCCAAAATCTGGAGTAAATTAGCTAGTGTGCAGTGGTATTGTTTTTTGTGAAGTCATTGACAAATTAAAAATTTTAATTTGAAAAAATGTTTTTTTCATTTACTTAAATTTCATAGGACACCTCGGGCCTTGTGGAGGAATTTTATTTCCATAAAGGATGCATTTTTTTATTTTCAAAAAAGCAGAAACTTTCCAAAAAGGCATTGGGCCAATACTGAGTCACTAATTACCAATTACTGTAATTACCAAGTTTAGACAACCTACGCAATACGACCTTCGATTTGAGACAGAATATATACGGTATATATATTTATAGATGTGTATATATATATATATAGCTTTATTTCAAAAAACAAAATCCAACAATAAAGGAGCCGTCAATATTTTTGTATTTGTTTGCTCAGAACACCCGTATTCTTTTAGTGTACATGACAATTGACTTGACGTTCGTTTTTTGCACACTGCACGCTACCAGTCCTATATCCTCCCAGCAGAGCTTGGTACTTCTCTGAGTCAAATCTGCTCTGCCTCGGCAAATGTTTTTTTACAACACCATCTGACACTTACCTGAACGAAGTAGATAATTTGCAATATTTTGCGGCAGTAGCCGCGAGTTCAGCTTGCTTTCTTTTACGTTCTCAATCTTTGCGAAGCATGGTGACAGCATAAGCAGCAGACGACAACTACACGATGATTACCGAAGAGGACACCTATCTGTTATTCGGAAACCGTCGGATGGCTTTTCCAATCAAAAACGTAACCCCCGATGATGCACCATTGTCATTGCTGTGGCTCCATAGTAGGCTGGACGATACATACCGTACCAGCCAATCATGCGACGAACACATGATCGTATTAGTCCAGAATTCATTGCGGTTCATTCAGTAGTTGGGAATTACGAGATGTGCGGGTCGACCTCGTTTCTCGTATCGAAGGTTGGGTTCGGGTTCAGTACAGATGCATCGATTGTTGACGAGGTAAAGTGGACCGTGTCGTGCGCAAGTCTTTTGTGTAATGAACGTTACTTTTGGTAAAAAGGGGGCATACGGCCAGACAAACATTAAAGGCAGGCCAATCTTGGCCGTAAGGTACTTCAATTTTGAGGAGGCGTGCGGCCAATTTTGAAAGGCACGACGGCCATTGGCCGCGGTGCCGCGGCTTATGTCTAGCCCTGTGTTTAGCAGAGGGTTGTAGGTTTAATTCTGTGAAATCAAGGTATGACTAAGATCATGAAGATCGAACTAGATAAGTCAATAAAATTATCCGACTGACTTGAGCCTATACCCTCAGAAAAGTGCCCCTCCCATGCCTTAAATTACTGGTTAGGCCTTTTCGGGGGGGGGGTACCCAATAGATGGCTTGTCGCTAACTGATTTAAAATGACACATGTATTTGCATGTAATGTATATATGTATATAAAATTATTTTTTTCCCCCAGACATATCTGGTCTCCCCCTCCCCCCAGCACTTAAGTAGTGACATTTTGTTTGAAATATGTGACATTATAAAATAGGTTTGAGTTTCTGTCTGATGGTGTGTGTGTGTGTGTAGGATGGTGGCCGGCATGTGCAGCATGCACGTTCATTTTTTTTTCCTCGACACTAAAATCCCACTAGTCTAACGGTCAGAAAAAGTGCCAATTTTTACTTTTGCTTATTGGGGCTGTACCCTCAAGGGTCAGCAAGTTGTACCCTATTGCTGTAATTACTTGTACTTTTTAAGGAATAAAAATAATGTACTATGGAGAACATTTTTGTACCTTGGATGTTCCTGAGTCCCCTTGTGTACAGTGTTATCCACAAAGGTACAAATTGGAATTTTTTTCTGACAGTGCACTAGTATTTTCATAAAGCATATGAAGTCGGCAGAACATTGATGTAAACGTGTGTGGTTTTTTTTGAGCACGTGACATGATTTTAACTTGTAAAACATGCCTTAGTTACTGCCCTGTTAACAGTAATTACTGTATCTGCATTTTTCACTGTAGCTGACGTTTGAACTTCACTTCCCCACAGCGCTGTAGTCAGACCATAAAGCACAAGAGGGGGGTAGGCTAATGATATTAGTCTTACAAAGTACACTGTTCCTATGTCTTGAATATCTGTGATTACGTGCTTATTCCATGTTGAAATACGGCACAGCCTGGAGTACTACTGAAGCCAAAGGTGTTTTTATTCTAATGTGTAAAAAAAAAAAAAAAAAAATTTAATTGGTACATGTATATATTTTCCCATTTCGCATCTCGCTGCTTTAATGGGAAAGGGTTTTGGTCCTTCACAATGAATGCAAGTCATATCTAAACAATATAACTTGTGGTTTCACCACTAACAGTTTTGTTTCATTGTTAAATGGGGACATGCAAAGTGACTTTGGTTGAATAGTGCTCACTCTGTACTTCCACATGATAGCGGCATTTACTTGGTCATAGCCACACTGAAAATTGTAGTTGGATTAAGGTCACATTTTAGTCTAGGATTTAGTCAGTGGAATTCAGGTTTAATCTTGGTCTAGTGATTTTTTTAGTCATAGTTCTATCAGACAAATTCATGATACTGAAGTAAGCATACTTTATAGGTAAACACCCTATGATGCTTAGTCATCCACGCTGGGAATGTGTTACTTAATTACTGGACGACTATAAAAATTTTACATGTAAAGTTTTAGAAAAAGCGCAATGCAATCATCGTTTCACCGGTCATATTTTCTCCATCAAGAAGACGTGCTTTTCCCAGTTTCGTTTTTATTAGGGCATTAAAACTCCCATCAAATTCAATTGTATGCCTGTTTTATACTCCACGGTGTGGTTCAATCACACTAGTCAAAAGAACTGGATTTTGGGGGTCAAACATATGTTATCGATCAGCTAGTGCGAGTACACCCTAAGAAATACAGGACATGGGGGCGGGGGTACGAAATATATACAAAAATACTGCTTAAATGGTTTTAGAATAATAGTTTTTGACCTGTATTGGGTTTAGAACCGCCGAACAAGACTGAGAAATGGTGGGTGGTGTTCCTTAGACATTGATATAATGTATAGAAATTTTTCTTAATTTAATGGTGTAAATTTTAACCTTTGAGCATTTTTCTATATGAAGATATTTTCAAATATACTGAAGGAATGGGCAGTAGGTATATTAATTGCTAAGGATCATAGTTTATAGGTAATCACTTCTCATTGGACTGGCTGTTATTGTTGAAGTTTATGTACATATGTAACTATTATTTTACATCTGGCATTACACCTTTTTAGGTCCAACTGGTAAAGTATAAGAGCAGTGTCCTTCCTGGGATTTTGTACCTGAGCACGTTGTTTCAGCCAACACCTTGCAATTGACAAAAAATATATATATTTCTGGTGCATTCAGGTTTAATAGGGATATTTCGGCTCACAGAGGGGAATTTGTCACTGGAATCACCAGGGAAACCGCTCTCCGATGACTGGAGGTGAGCTGGGCGTAGCATCTGCCCTGCTGTCAGTAGTAAATAGAGAGATGTTTAAATATGCAAGCTGGCCATGTAAGCCTGGCTGTGTGTGCTTTCATTTTTTCTGGAGTTGAATCCAGTTAACATCCTGGCATTAATGCATAAACAGTCACTTGGCTCCTTCGGGCTTGGCTCTATGCTCTGTGCCCTGTCAGAGCAAGCTGCAGGGCCACAGTGCAAGCAGCTATCTTTCTGTTGCATCTGCTGGCAGGAAGTGTGTGGACTAATAATTGCTCTTCCTAGATTGAAGTCCCCCCTGCACCAGCAGTGTTATAGGGCAGTAAAGAGTGGTTGATCATTTGCAGATATTTTTTTAATGCTTTGATTTCAAGTTAAACCCAGGGCAAAGATATTTCGAAATTTTAGAGTGAGGGCGATAACTGAGGGAAGTGTGCATGCTATTCTTAAGCTCCATTGGCCTAAGAAACTTTCGTAATGTTCTGAGACCAGATTGCTGATCTTTATGTGCCATGCCTCTGTTTTCAGAGATGTTTTAAGAGCCTTGTCAATCAGGTGGAGAACTACCCCCAATTTCTCAGCACCTACAGGGATCTGGCAGATGATGCCTCTGGCACAACCCAGCTGCATCTTCCTATAGGCTTTCAACTTGGTCATCGAGGTGCTGAACACTACAGACCACCTGCAGTACACCAGGGAGTGGGCACTCCCCAGATATTGCCAAAATATCCAGATGGTTGGATTGTTGCTTCATTGTTTTGGGCAAGACAGACTGGCTTTAGTGCTTTTCTGTAATCCAAATTAAAGTTAAACAAGAAATAAAGTACCTGTATGTTTGTACCGTGAGGCCTGTATTTCTCACCCCTACATCTACAGTAAACATGATTGTGTGTAATGCTTTTCCTCAGTTTGGTTTTCAGAAAAGTCAATGCCAAACCACCTTATTTTCTACTAGTGTTTTTTCTAATTTACACTCCAATAGAAATTCAGCAGATTTCAAGCCGGTTGTCATTTAAACAAATCGCATTAGTTTCTAGGTAAGCCTTACAGTGCATGATGCCCTTGAGAGCATATTCTCTACCTTCTTGTCATTCACTGTCATTGCAAGTTGGGTTTCACCAATAGGGTCACAGCAAAAAAAAAAAAACACTTTTGGGATGTAGCTCGTGTGCAGTCATGTTGCTGACGACTGGAGACACCTAACCATATAATCAAAAGATGGGTTTGGCTTGAATGACAATGACACAAAAGCTCATGTAAACGAACACTGCTGTTCTAAGATTAAGAGCAATCCATGGACTGGGTGTACAAATTCAACAAATTAGCATGGAGTTAAGTAGGTCTGCTTGTTGAACCTTAAAGTTAGTGCCTCTGTTACATAGTCGTCAAAAGTCTTTTTTGTCAATTCTGCCATATGTATAAGATAATGGAGCACTGAAATTGCGTTACTCTGACCCCACAGTGAGTGCACCAACAATGACACGCAAGACAGATTCAAATATTCCAGTATATACACACTAAAAAATTTAAGCCTGCTCTACTTAAAAAAAAAAAAAAAAAAAAAAATGAGGCAACTATTTGCATCAGCCGTGTAAGTATTTCTAACATTTCTTTTTGTCATGTACTCAATTATTTCTGTTCAATATTAAATTAAAGCAAACTTAATTACATATTTTTATCACCTGTCGAATCAACTTTTAGTTTAATCTGCTTGATTTTTTAATTGAATAAGTAACATTTTTAGGTGTGATTTACCTAATTTTAATTATCAGTGAAGTGTTATATATTAGTTCACTTTAAGAAAATTAAGCTGAAAAATGATTTTACTTGAAGCATACTTAAACCATTAAATGTCTAAAATCCATTAAATACACAATTAGTACACAAGATGGAGTCCACCAAATAAAATTGTGTGCTCACATGACTTACATCCACCAAAAATAGACTAACAAAGACAGTCAAATTTAAGAAAATAGTTTTTGCTTTCAAGCACATCAACACATTTTCTCAACGAAAAAGATTATTTCAAAAATATTTTTGCTACAAAAACATAAAATATATTTTTCTCATATAACCCAGTAGGATAAGCGGGTTGGACAATGGATGGATGGATGTATAGGATTAAGCAGCAGGTGTAAAAGAACAAGCTCAAGATTGAACAGATCTGGACTGTGACAAGTAAATTCTTAATGATCAACTTACAACAATTACGTGAAAAGAAACAGATAAAGGTTAAAGCAAGATCAACAGAAGTGTAATCAAATTTGGTAATTTCTAATGTGAATAAAATGGAATCATTCTGTTAAAAGAAACAGCCAGCTACATATTAAATATTACCAATACACAGGGTGATGACATTTGACAACAAATGCTTGGCCCAAAAAGATGAGGCAAAAGGGTGATCTAATGATTGATACCTGAGTTAACTACAAATACAAGTGCTACAGTTCAGAAAATGTGCATTTTCTAGAATCGTAATCACAAAGGATCATTTTCTTAAACTGGACATTATTTAATTGATCTTGAAAGCTTGGACTTTATAGGAGGTCTTGCCCACATCCAGTTCCAAAAACAACTTTTGAAAACACCTCAAATGTATATTTTAATTGTTTGGGATAGCTTGAGTTTAAGGCATAAATGAGTTCCATAACAATTGCACATGCCTTTGCTACACTGCACATACCATTGAGGATATCTTCCCCATCAATGACAATGCCAACTGTAGTACTGCTGTCTGTGGCTTTATTCATCACAAATATCTTGGTGGCCAATGTGGAGAGATCATCTTTGATGAGCGGGAGATCATCATTACCAACAACCTAAAGAATGAAACCAGAACTATATTTAGCTACTTGTTAGAAAATAGCAACAAAGACAAAATTTGAAAAGTTTACAATAAATAAGAAAATCATCCCACATTCAGAACAACATGAATGCACAATTAATGCACCACATATTATGAGGCTTTATATTTGTAAATCTTGCTGACATATTTAATACTGTTCATGCATAACAGGATTAATATTGAAAATACAACACTGCAGAGCAGGTTTAGAAAGGACATAAATGAGGATAACCTACTTACACGATATTCCTTTATCAGGTCCTCCACCTTCTCTCCCAGATACGTGATGACGCCTTGGATGACTGTGTCCCTTTTGCTTTCACTGGTGTTGTTCTGTCATGAGTTCTGTCATTCTGTCAACCTGTAGTGCTTCAATAAAGATGTCCTTTTAGAAGTAACTGTACTGCACACTTTACATCTCCAGTCCATTGCGTAAAACCGAATATTCTAACGATTATTCCTATTTTTGCCAATTTTGCTAAACTTAAGTTAGGTTAATAGTTCAATTCACCTTACCTTTACACTGCAGCAGCTCTCAAATGGCACAGCATCTGTTGAAAGAAATGAACGCATAAAATTTTTTGCTATCAATCGGTTGGTAGCATACACGACAAAGATGTCGCTAACAAAATTCACAATATCGTACTGGGTTATGTTTATACGTATCTCCTACCAATAAAACAATAGGCTTTGTTTCAGCAACTGTTGAAAACTTTCCAGCTAAGTTAGATAGAACCGTCAATTTCTGGTGGAGCGGTAAAGCAGGTCTGCACATCAGTCGTTGTGAAAATGGTGGCTATTCTGATGAGAGCGCGGTTCAAGCGCAACGTAACAGATATGCCTAACATGGTAACAACAATAAAATTATGTTCATATTAGGCAGTTTTGTGTGTTATGAAAAGATATTTCTTAAATCACATAAGGTGAAAAAATAAAATTTACCAGTGTAAACCATAATGATGTAGACTAGAAACTTAAAATTTGTTTGTTTAAATCACATATTGTTTCTTTGTTGACTTTACAAATCCCCTGCATCATTTTTATCAGTGCAGCGCCCTCCACAATTATTGCCACACCTTGTAAAGATTTTTAAAGAGGGTTAGAAAAAATCCACCATTTGGTGAAGCAGCTTCATGTCACACTGAAAAATTGAGGAAAAATCCAGCCTTTCCTTAAAATAAGTTTATTGAAAGAACTAAATCTTCATCAAGAAATAATTATCTTTAACAAAAACACGTGCCATGATTATTGGCACCCCTGCTTTTTATAATTTGTACAACCTCCCTTTGTCAGTATAACAGTCTTCTCCTATGACATTTTATAAGGTTGGAGACTACCAAACAGGGCATCTGAGTTTATTCCTCTTTACTGAATCTCTCCAGATCATCAGTGTGATATGAAGCTGCTTCACCAAACGGTGGATTTTTTCTAACCCTTTTTACAAATCTTTACAAGGAGTGCCAATAATTGTGGAGGGCGCTGTACATAAATGCAAAAATTAAATTAAATACTTTGTGCAGAAGACATAAGGCAGAACAAATGTAGACTGCAGCCGTTTTTAGTTCTACAGTCTTTGTTGTAGGTAAGTAAAATAAAGTGGGTAGTACTGGAAATGGCGATCTCCTTTGTTTTGTATACGCTTAAGAGGAGATGGTTGCTGCTGCACCACATGGCCAATTGGTTCACCTCATTTCTGTATGTAGTCTCATTGTTGTTTTTGATGAGACCCCTGTGGTGTCGTCTGCAAACTTGATGAGGTTGGTGCTGTAGTTTGATGTGCAGCCATGGGTCAACAAGGTGAAGAACAAGGGACTGAGCACACATCCTTGGGGTGCCCTGGTGCTCAGTGTGATGGTGCCAGATGTATTTTTGCTGACCCGCTTGCGGTATGGAAGTCCAGTAGCCAATTGCAGAATGAGGTGTTCAGGTCCAACAGGTCCAGTTTCTATATCAGCTGCTGAGGAATGATGGTATTGAATGCTAAACTAAAGTCTATGAACAGCATTCTCACTTAAGAGTTTTTTTTCCTGGATGGGTGAGGGCAGAGTGGAGAGCAGAGGAGATTGTTGGTCCAATATGCAAACTGAAAGGGATCCAGGGCAGGGGGAATATTGGATATGATGTGCTGCCTGACTAGCTTTTCCAAGTGCGATTGGGTTGTAGTCACTGAAGCATGATAGAGATGTCTTCTTTGGTACAGGTATAATCCTGGGTTCGATTATATTTCTCCGAGTCAGAACTCGGATGAAAACATCACAATAAACATCTCATCCCGTTGGAAACGCTCCTCTTTTATGACGTTGATGCCAGACACAATTTTGTCCGAGTTTCCCCTGTGACGTCATTTGAACATGGCAGGTTACACAGTCAACAGTAATTATATTTTATAAATATTTTAAAATGTTTCTTTTGTTAAATGTATTAATAGTTATAAATGTAATTGCACATGGTCGATGTCACGTAAAGTGCTGCAGGCGAACGGGGAAGAAGGCAAGCCAAGCCAGGAAGTCAACGAAACGGGGGTTTATTCCGGGGGAAGCACATCTACAAACGTCAATGACAAGTCTGGGGAAAACTAACCGAGACGTGGACTAAATACACAAGACAAGCTGAGGGTAACAAGCAACAGGTGAGAACAATCAGGCAGAAACAGGAGGTAACGAGGTGGGCATGGCACACACGAGGATCGGACGGAGCTGGGTGTGACAGAACCCGGCGCGCCCGAGGGGAGGCGACGGACGAGACGAGGGAACTGGACCTGGAAGACAAAAGGCAAGACGTTAACGGGGAACCGGAAACAGAATGGAAACACTGAACAGGAACAGGGACCAGAAGAAAGACAAGACCGAACAAAGAACAGGAAACGCCGACAGGCAGACAGAGAAGGGAGACACAGAGGAAACACCCACAGGCGACATGAAGGGGCCAGGAGGAACAGAGGAACGAGGAGCAGAAACAAAGTGTTTCATTTACTCTTTCTATATACACCTTATCAACACATATTTGTACTCTTATATTTCCTCTATAATTTCCAAATAACATAGATTTAGTTTTATCTAAATTTAAAGAAAATTTATTTATGTCCAACCACTTTTTAACTGCATTTGTTTCCTTTGTAATCACCTCCACAACCTGTTGCAATTCTCCACCTGAATAGAAAATGTTTGTATCATCTGTAAATAGTACACATTTTAATATCTGTGATACTTTATAAATATCATTTATATACATAATAAACAGTTTTGGCCCTAATATAGATCCTTGAGGTACTCCACATGCAATATCTATCAATCTATATGTATATTTACAAATTGCACAAATTGTTACCTTTTCCTTATATAACTCTTAATACATTCTAACACTATACCCCTGAAACCATACTTCTCCATTTTCCTTATCATTATATCATGATTAACAGTATCAAAAGCTTTCTTTAAATCTAGAAATACTCCAATTGCATACTTATTCTTATCCACACATTCTGTTATTTCTTCTATTAAATCAATCAGTGCTAATTCTGTTGATCTATTATTTATAGATCCATACTGACAATCTATTAACAAATCCTGTTTATCAACAAAACTTTCCAGTTGTTTTAAAAACAATTTTTCTAATATTTTAGAAAATTGAGAAAGTATTGACACTTGTCACGCCCCGCTCCGTCCGATCCTAGTGTGTGCCACGCCCACCTCGTTACCTCGTGTTTATGCCTGATTGTTCTCCACTGTTGCTCATTAAACTCAGGTTGTCCTGTGTATTTAGTCCGAGTCTCAGTCAGTCTTCCCCAGATCCGTCATTGTAGTGTCCGTTGATGTCCATGCCTGTCCGTCCCTCCCTGAATAAACCCCGTTTACCTGACTTCCTGGCTGCTCTCGCCTGCTTCCACGGCTCGCCTGCCTTCTGAACATGACAACACTAGCCTATAATTTGTAAATTGATTCTTATCTCCTGCTTTGTAGATGGGAATTACTTTTGCAAGTTTCATCATTTGTGGAATAACCCCCGTTTGAAAAGACAAATTAAAAATATTGGTTAATGGTTTTGCAATGCCACCAATAACACTCTTCATTGTTATCATATCAATATCATTCCAGTCTCTACTATCTGAGCTATTATGTATTTCCACATAATCTGCAGCATCCATTTCAATCTCATCAACTTTTAGTTCCTCTGCCAATTTTGGTCCTATATTTACAAAAAAGTCATTAAACCCATTTACTACTTCATTCATGTCTTGAATACTACCAATATTTTGTTTACTTTCATTAGAAAACTGAGGGAAATTATTGTTCCTCTTTCCATTTTTTATTAGACTTTTTAATACCTTCCACATGCCTTTTATTTAATTTTTATTATCATCTAACTTCTTCATAAAATATTCTCTTTTACAAGTTTTCATTATATTAGTAAACTTGTTTTTATATTTTTTATATTTATTTTCTGCTTCTGTGGTTCTAGATTTTATGAAATCGTGATAAAGTGTATTCTTTTTCTTGCTGGAATTTTGTAATCCTTTAGTCATCCACGGTCTTCCAACATACTTGCAGTTCCTCTTATTTTCAACTACTAGGCAGTTTTTATCAAGTAAAACTTTAAATATCCTTAAGAATGTTTCATATGCTTTATTGACTTCATTTTGTTCATATACAATTTCCCAATCTTGCTTTTGAAGTTCATTTTTTAAAGTATTTAATGTCTTCTCTGTCCTAATTATTTTATTCATAATATTATTTTCTTCTCCGTTGACATTATAATGACAGTAATAAGTTGCAAAAACTGGTAGATGGTCACTTATATCATTGATCAATATCCCACAATCTATGTTCTCTTCCATTATGTTCGTAAATGTATTATCTATTAAAGTTGCACAATGTGCTGTTATTCTGGTTGGTCTTATTATCAGTGGAAATAAACCCATGCAATGCATGTGTCACGCTGGTGGAGTGGGTGAGCAGCAAAGCAGGCAAGATCAGCCGGATGGACGGGTAAATGGGGTTTATTGGAGACGACAGGGCAGACAGGCACGAACTTCCACTAACAATACACATGACAGATCTGGGAAACAGAGGAAGACGCGGACTCATATACATCAGACTAGCCAGAAATAACAGGACACAGGTGATCACAATCAGGGATTAACACGAGGTAACGAGGTGGGCGTGGCATGCACGAGGATCGGACGGAGCTGGGCGTGACAGCATGGTATCTATAAATTCATATGTACTTTTATTATGTTTAGGGTTCAACAAATCAATATTAATATCCCCACATATAAACATCCTTTTCTGATTAGTGAATAACTCCTCCATAATATTATTAAAAGTCTCAATCTTAGTTCCTGGCGTTTTGTATATACAACTAACCATTATATTTTTCTTTCCTTCCATTCTAATTTCTACAGTTATACATTCCATTACTCCACTAACCATAGTTGTCATCCTTTCCATTCTTTTGTAATTTAACTTTTTATCAATATACAGTGCCACCCCTCCTCCTTTTTTATTCCTTCTATCTACATGGAAGAATTCATATCCACATAAATCAAAATCTTCATCTTTTTCATGTGTTATCCAGGTCTCTGATACAGCTATCACATTGAATGGTTTTTTAAACTGGTGTATGTACTCTTTAATGGATTGAAAATTTGCATATAGACTTCTGCTATTGAAGTGCACTATCGTTATATTATTTTCTACCATTATCTTCATATTATATTGTTCTTCTGTACAATAAGTGCAATGATTCATTTTCAAATTAAGCATATTATAACCGGGGTCTATATTACTATCACACTCCATTAACCTATTATCTAAGTTTATATGTCTAGTAATATTCAAATTATCAGACATCTTTATAATTTGAATATTAGTTAAATGTTCATTTACATATACATTACATATACATTTGTTCCTTTCAGCTTACGCCCCTGCATAAGCAGTTCTTTCTTCTGTTTTCTATTCACAAATCTCATGATAATGGCTGGTTTCTGGCTTTTATTTTTTCTTGGTAGCAGTTTGCACCCTTCTAAATCCTTGCTTTCCACCTTTATACACTTACTACCAAAGAAGTCAATTACCTGCTTCTCTAAGGAGTTTAGCTCGTGCTCAGATGGGTCCTCATTTTCTGTTACTGTATCCTCGCATATGTCCGGTGCATAGTTTCCAGTCCCGTCACAATCACTTCATTCATTCTTGAAAATTGTTCCAGCTCAGACACTCGTCCTTCCAACGTAAGAATTTTCTTATTCTTTTCCTCATTTTGCCTCCTGAGATCTTTCACTTCTTCCATTAGATCCATTATCATTTTTTGTTGTTTCAAAATTGTTGTTATTTCTTCTGACATAAAGTTTAGAGATTTCTTTATCTCCTCCAGTTCCTCTTCGGTGATAATATTCCTTTTAGGTGGCATCTTGCCTGTACGCCGTTGGATTTGCGTTTACCAGAGCGTGTCCTTCTACCTGCGCGTGGATCCAACGCTCCCGAGATGTTCCTCACTCTCCATCTAAAAAAAGCGTGTCCTGAGTTCCGTGTGTTTCTCAATCAAGTTGTTAAATGTTAGCCTTTGGTGAATGCCCAGGCTAAATCTGTCGATGCTAGCCAGCAGTGATTTTTATTTATTTCAGTTAATGAAAATGTTTTTTCAATTCTAGTTTTCGTTATTTTGTTCGTTTTCGTTGACGATAATAACTTTGGTGCATGCTTGTACTTGGATGGGAAATAGTATCTCAGCGAGTGTTTCTGGCCTTATTGATGAGGCGGGCTGCGGTGGGGAAGAAACTGTGCCTATGTCGTGATGTTTTGGTCCCAATGGACCGCAACCTTCTGCCAGAGGGGAGAGTCCAAAGGAGTTTGTGACCAGGGTGAGAGGAATCAGCCATAATTCTTCCTGCTCTTTTCAAAGACCTGGACTGGTACAGGTCCAGTAAAGACGGAAGGTTGCAGCCGATCATCTTCCCGACAGAGTGGATGATACGCTGAAGTCTGCTCTTGTCCTTGGCAGTGGCAGCAGGGTACCAGATGGTGATGGAGGTGGTGAGGATAGCCTCAATGATGGCAGTGTAGAAGTGCACCATCATCTTTGGCAGACTGAACTTCTTCAGCTGCATCAGGAAGAACATCCTCTGTTGAGCTTTTTTGGTGAGAGAACAGATGTTCATCTCCCATTTAAGGTCCTTGCTGAATGCTGATCCTGGTGCCCACAGCGGTGACTGGTGAGCCGAGCAGGAAGATGGGTGGAGGTGGGGCAGATCATCTCCACTGTCTTCAGGGCGTTGAGCTCAAGGTTGTTCCCATTGCACCAGGACACCAGGTGATCATTCTCCTGTCTGTAGGCAGACTCATCCCCATCAGAGATGAGTCTGATGAGGGTTGTATCGTCTGCAAATTTCAGGAGCTTGACAGATGGGTGGGAGAAGGTGCAGCTGTTTGTGTAGAGGGAGAATAGGAGGGGAGAAAGGACGCAGCCTTGTGGAGATCCGGCGCTGATGGTCTGGGAGATAGAAATGTGTTTCCCCATCTTCACCTGTTGCTTCCTGTTGGTTAGGAAGTCTGTGATCCATCTGCAGGTGGAGTTGGGTACATGCAGGTAGGAGAGCTTGTAGTACAGGAGGGACGGGATGATAGTCTTGAAGGCGGAGCTAAAATCTACGAAAAGGATTCTTACGTATGTTCCTGGGAAGTCAAGGTGTGGAGGATTACGTGAAGGGCCATGTTGACAGCATCATCTACAGATCTATAGATTTTAATTCTACCGAACATGAAAAATGAAAAAGAATGGGATTCTTAAAAGTATTTTACTCATCCTACAAAGCAGGTCATAGAAGAGGGGTTACCATCATATTCTCTCAAAAAGATGCATTTGAATTGACCTCAGAAACAAGAGATAAAGAAGGGAGATATGTGTTAATTTCAAGGAAAATTGAAAACGTCCAATTAACAATGCTAAATGTTTATACACCCCCAGGCAGTGACTTTTTGTTCTATAGAAAATTGTTTGACTTAAAAAGAGAGAAGAAAAAAGTTTGTTTCATTGTGTTTATTAAATAACATTTTTACAATGTTTTACAATGAACACTTTCTATTGTTTTTCCAACAATAAAATGTTTTTCAAAATCTACATGCTGTCTTTACTTTTCAAAATAATTGTTATCTTAAAATTTTAACTTATTGTAGTAAGTTAATACTATTAAAAGAACAATAGCCTTCTTTAACAGTATAAAGTACACCTGGGGGTAAGCCAAGTTTAATGCATAAATTAGACCAACCATCATGGAACATGCATTAGCTACATTGTCCAAGTTGTCAAGTACTTGGATGCCTTCGATGATGACACCAACATCTTCGTATGGGTCTGCAACATCTGCCCCTTCATGTTTTATGGTACAGATTCCGAGAGTGGTGTTGCTCATCAAAATTTGGGCTTCATCATGTTCAGCGTCCTAAAAATAACGAAAGACAAGTACAAATAATAAGTACAAAATAAAACAATTACCAACAGATCAAGGGTAAAAACAGGAACTGGTTTTAGAGAAAAATACAAAAATTTTCTTAAAAAAAGAATGTAAATAGCTTACCATGTACTCCTTCACTAGGTTTGAAGGATCTTCATTTAGGTAGACCACTAAGGCTTTCAGGATGCATTCACGCTTTTTTTCAATGGTGATGCTCTAATCAAAATGAAATGAGTATTAGTACTTTTTGCTGTACATCTTAAATTTAAGTAGCATTACGCAGATTATCCCACTGCTGTATTTTACGAAAGTCAAGTGTGTCCATCAACCAATGGTCCCAAATCAGAAGCACTGTATGGGGTACACAATTACCTTGAACGTCTGAGCTGTTCTAATTGTAGTTGCAAAAACAGCTCTGTTAAAGTATAAGAGGCGGAAAGTCATTGATACTTCAAAATAAAAAAAATCATGATATTTGGAGCCTAAGAACGAAAATTTACCTTTAACTTTTAATCCATAATTTTAATATAAAAAAGATTGAATGAAGGATGAGTTAAAAATAACAAAATAATTATATTTGGATGAAATATGTTTGGCCTATTATGAGTTATGAGAATCCATCCATCCATTAGCTTCTGCTTATCTGAGTGAACATGGTGTTCATTATGGACAATCCGTGACGGGCACAGAAGTCCAATAATAAAACACCACTTGGGGTCAGATCGGGGGGCCATTCCTCCCAATCACACCCCTCCAGGTCTCACTGTCATTGCCCATGTGAGCATTGAAGTCCCCCAGCAGAACAAGAGAGTCCCCGGGAGGAGCGCTCTCCAACACCCCTTCCAAGAACTCCAAAAAGGGTGGGTATTCTGAACTGCTGTTTGGTGCATAAGCGCAAACAACAGTCAGGACCCGTCCCCCCACCCGAAGGCGAAGGGAGGTTACCCTCTCGTCCACCGCGGTAAACCCCAATGTTCAGGCGCCCAGCCAGGGGGCAATAAGTATACCAACCCCAGCTCGGCGCCTCTCCCCGTGAGCAACTCCAGAGTGGAAGAGGGTCCAACCCCCTTCGAGGAGACTGGTTCCAGAGCCCAGGCCATGTGTTGAGGTGAGCCCAACTACATCTAGTCGGGCTCGCGCACCAGCTCAGGCTCCTTCCCCACCAGAGAGGTGACATTCCATGTCCCTAGAGCTAGCTTCTGCAGCCGAGGATCAGATCGCCAAGGTCCCTGCCTTCGGCCATTGTCCAACTCGCACTGCACCCGACCCCTATGGCCCCTCCTACAGGTTTTGAGCCCATTGGAGGGGGGACCCACGTGCCTTGTTCGGGCTGTGCCCGACCAGGCCCCATGGGTGCAGGCCTGGCCACTAGGTGCTCGCCATCGAGCCCCACCCCCAGGCCTGGCTCCAGGGGGGGGCCCCGGTGACCCGCGTCCGGGCAAGGGAAATCGTGGATCCATGTTATAACTCATCATAAGGGGTCTTGTGAGCCGCACTTCGTCTGGTTCCTCACCCAGGACCTGTTTGCCTTGGGTGACCCTACCAGGGGCATAAAGCCCCGGGCAACTTGGCTCCTGGGATCATTGGAACACACAAACCCCTCCACCACGATAAGGTGTCGGCTCCAGGAGAGGGAATTATGAGAATTGATGATGAATTTAGAGAACATACCTGATCCAAAACTGACAGGATGTCTGTGATCTTCTGTGCGGCTGCTCCTCCTTTCTTTTTGAAATTTTTGAGGAGCTGGGAGGAGAAATGATCAAGCTGACCCATGAATTTGGACAACAAAGGAATTGTTGTAATCCTGCTGAATTCCGCAGATACCTGGTACAATTTCCAAACAAAACAAAACAAAAAAAGAGAGGGAGACAAATCAGGAGGATAGCCTGTTGTAACATTAAAGTAGCTAAGGTTTTCACTGAAAACACATGTTTTTTTTTACACCCATGACATTTACCTCTTTCTCTGTAGCAAGTTTCACATGTAATATGGTGCTCTTCTGCAGTCCAAACTTTGAATTCACCTCCCTTCACTTCAGTGGTCTGAGAATTTGCACGAGAAGCTGTACAAAATCGACAACAGTACTCGCCTGAAAACTTCTCAATGAATCCAGCCATGGAATGTGTGGCAAGATTATCAGCCACAACACATTTTACTGTCCCTTTAAGGAATGTTCCCATACACACCTTGCTGTTTCAAAGTTTGGAGATCTTGCAGAGGTCGCAAGATTTTCTCAAATCCGTATGTCTTCACGTCTTCTGTTTTGCATAAAATTGCAAGAAAAATTGAAGACAATGTTGTACCTTATCTGATGGTACATTACCCAAAATCCAGTAGACTGCACATAACTTGTGCTTTTTCCTTGATGTCCCAAGAGGGTTGCACACTTCAAAGTCATCAACGTATAAGCACACAGAAATCCTCAGCTCCTCTGAGAAGAAATCATTTGCTTTAAAATACAAACCATCCTGAATTGACCCATGACTCTTGAGCATCTCTTAACTGTTGCGTACTGTGACTTTCAATCATTTTGTCAAGCAAGTCATATGGAAATGTAAATAATTTAAAAAAATGAAGCAGTACACCATTATCGGATCCCAGGAGTCCAACTGGTGGTAAATGCAGTATTTTTTAGGATTTTTAGTGATATATTAGTGTTTAGTGTAATATTATTTGGACAGCAAACTGACATTATTGCTTTTCAAAAAACAGAAATTGTTGACAATGCTGAAGATCTTGGAGGCTATTGTGACACTGATAGTCTGCAGAGTCAAGCAAGACATTACAGAACACTGCA